GTTTCTATAATACAAATAAACATAGATGAGACAAAATGCATTTATGGCCATTCCTTCCCTTCACCACCAGCCAGAGGGTGGAGGCAAGTAAACAATAACTCCCAATAATTCTAGCAGCTTCAATCTATCAAATAAGATGCTTTTTCTATCCATCACTGATACACAGTACAGCTGCAAGGCAAGCTACTGTTTCTGCTCCCTCAGACTCCCTCTGGGGAAGCAAAAGATACTGTTTCTCTTGGGACTCAAAATGCTTGACCACTTTATTTCTAGTTTCTCCAAAACAAACCAACTACTGTCTTAAACCTGGATCCATGACAGGAAATTTGAAGGAAGACAGTATGCAGATAAGTCATATTTATATGTATTTTTAAACAATTCAGAGTGAGACTACTCTACATTTTAAATAGTTTACAAGGCAGAGTGCTTTTCACCATTCATGCTGTTTACAGAACAGACTGCCAGAGTTAAATGCCATTCTCTGTCTTTCCTGCAATACAGTGCTACTGTGCATCCCCAACCAACTCACAAGATAAATTTGCAGCTATGAACAAAAATGTCATTTTTTCTATGTCAACAATTTGTATTGATAATATCTTATTTTAAGCATTCGTTTCCTACATACTTGTGTGCAGCCAACAGTACTATATTTTATCTGTATGTGATGGGCAGAAGAAAAATGAAATTTGGCTGTAAGATTTAGAGAAAATGTTTTTTGTAACAGATCTGGACCTCTATTTTCACATTTTTCTTTAAATTTATTTAAACTTGGAGAATATCAAATTCAATAAAATAGCATGTGTCTTTTATTTTTTGAGTCCAAGTCTCCAGGATGATAGATGATGATAGATAGATGACAGAAAAATAGGCAATTCAGAGAGCGAAAGCACTCTATTCCATTTAAAATACCATAAATTAAATATGGAAAGGCAAGCATATCTAGTGAAGATCAATCCTGTGAATTTAGTTCCCATAAAGACTAAGTCACATATCTAAGGCTTGATGATGAATCATTAGAATCTGCCAGTTGTACTCCATCAGTAGTGAGCCATCTGGCTTATTCTGTTTATATCAGTCTAATGAGTGTTATTCCAAGTTTTTGATATTTCCACAGCTCATAAGTAATGAGACTGCTGGCAGTGAGCCTGCATCACAGCCTAATTTCAGGGGGGATATTTGATTTTTGTTTGTTTTCCATAGCAAATCAAAGTTTGAATGCTGCTTCAAAAAAAGAATTTCCAGTGAATTGGAAAGATGATGGTCTCCGATGTTTAAGTACAGCCTTTACTATATTTATCCCTTGACTTCATTGACTGTGTTCTCCCTCCACCAATTTTGGGAGTGGGGGGATCAAAACAACAACTATCCTTGCCTCATTTGCCTCCCCCTACCTCTCTTCCTCTTTTCAAATTTGTTGCAGGAGAAAGTTCTTTAGAACATACCCTGCCTTTCCCCAAACTGACTATGCCCTTCCCCAATTTGATGTGCTGGTTCCTGTGGGGAAGAGAAAGCATCACCACTGTCTCCTGTCTCTTCCTTTCCCACATTCTGCTTTCTGGTTGCCCCACTTCACCCCCTTCCGTGCCCTTCCTAACCTCACAGAGTCGAAGGCCAGCTGGGGCTGCAGCTGCTGGCTGGTCCTTCCCTGAAACAATGGTGCGTAAGCAGAAAAGTAGGTGCAAGTTTAGAAGTTGAAATTAAAAAATAAAACCATGGGTACAACCTTTAAACTAATGTTTAAACCTTTATAACTTTCCTAATTATCCACCCCTCACCTTCTCTCAAATACTAGGGAAGCCTCCAGAAAGCAAGGCTCCAGAACAATGGTTCTCCAACATGAACTGCATCAGGATCACCTGAGGGTCTTGCTTGCATCACAGACTGCTGGACCTCACGCCCAGACTCATTCAGCAGGTCTAGGAAGAGACCTTAGAATTTGCATTTGCAGCAAATTCCCAGGTGATGCAATTCTCCAACCCACGTGTAGAACTACTCCTTAGACACAGAAAAATTGTCAAAGAAAGAGAAAGCCCAGGGAAGTTGCAGTTCCAGTGAACATCGCCTCACTGCTGAGTGCCTCAGGCAGAGTCTGGTTCTCTAATACAGGGGAGGCAGCATGGTGGGTTTCAATACAGGTAGGCAACATTTGAACACAGCAGCTGCTTGAATTATTTCACTTCACTCCTGGTCCTTCAACACAGTCAGAGTAAAAGTATGAAGAAAGGGAAAGTGAAATTATGGAAGTAAATATTATGCTCTTTTAGCCAATTAGCTCTTTAGGTTCCCATTCACATCTTAGCTATATTGTTTTCTGTTTTAAACTGCCCATAGCATTTTGCAATTGGCACTGAAATCAGACAGGGTTTAAATCCTGCCTTACTTGCTTGTGTCTACCTGTGTTAGTAAGCTTTTTGTTCTTGCAACAAATACCTGAGATGAATTAACTTATAAAGAGAGTTTTATTTTGGCTCACAGCCTTATTAAAGATTTCGGTGCATGGCTGACAGCGCTGAATGTGCTCTGACTGGTTCCTATACAGCAAAGGCTAGTTTTTATCATAAATGCCCATGTCTTCTGGATTTCCCACGAGACTATTCAATATAATAAATATCTTATTACCTACTTGGTAGTCATTAATTTGACCAATAATTATGGATCATATAAAGAAATATTGTAGAGTAGCTGCCATGTGTCAAACATATAATACTCCCCAAATATATTGAAATTATACCCTGTAAAGAAAAAGTTTGATATAAATATTTTCATTTGGAAAATTCCGAATTTACATTTAAGGAAAACATTTGCCTCCATAACTGGCTAACTAAAGAAACTGAGAGGTTGTGCTTACTAACCACAAATTTTGTTTGGATAGACACTAAAATAACAGAATGCAAAGCGGGGGCACAATTCTGCAGATATCGTGGCCTGGTACCATTCAGGGTGTATTTTAGACCATCCCAGAGAACAAACGCCCACTTTTCCCCAAAATCATCATTTTATTTATGTGACGAAACAACAAAGAATAAATTTGGCTGAGAGTATCCTATTTCCAGCGCACACTGACCTTATTTTTAACCAAATGTGTCACTCAGAAACCTAATGATCAGTTAGGAACAAACAGGAGCAGAGTGCCTCTTCTGGGTCTTCCTATACCCCAGGTAAATGTTACCAATTCACTCTTCTACCAACTGACCACCCAAAGGTATCAGGCCTCATTTTCTGAAATGTACAGTGAAAAGGGAAATGTGGCATGCATTGAAATGTCTTGATTTTACTCTTCATAGTGCCCTTGCTCCTTCCTTCTAGGTTTTTCCTTCTCCCAAAAATGTTATCATAATCACAGAATTTTAGTTGCTTGGTAGACGTTTTAGAGATATTTAGTCCAATCCCCAATTTTACCATGAAAAACAAAGGCCACAAAGTCTGAATGTCCTACCCAAAGCCAAGAGCTCTTGATGACAGCCGGGACAGATGTCTTCTAGCCCCATCTCGCATACATTCCCCTACATCACTGGCCTCCACATTTGCTCAAAAGGAGCATCTGCAAACAATTTTTTATCAGATTTTATGGAGAAAGACCCCATGAGCTTCAACTTTTGCATCACAATGTTCATTAAGTGATTATTGTTGATGCTGACAAGTTTTATTTGAGGCTCTAGCAGGTGTCTGAAAGCTGAGAAAGATGGAGTCCAAAATAGAGAGCTCAGGAAACACTCGAGAGATTTGACTCCCTTACCCTAAATCTTCTATAAAACCAGATACTAAGGATAACACTTTAGTTATGGGCAACATTTTCCTTCAATTTTCCCTAAAATATCTTGCAAAGCCATAATGCCCAAAGTTTTTACTGGAATAAAAGTGTAAAGTTTAAAGTCTGAGCTCCTTTACACGGAAAAATGATATATTATCTGTGTTCTATTTCCAAATGCCCTAACGTATTTCTCACTTTGCTGATATGGTTTATTTGTTTGTTTGTTTTTCCTTCCAAAAGTTCTGCTACCTAAACCTGCGGCTTCTTCGATGAAAGGGTACTTGGGATGAATGTGACAAGTCTACAGCCGGCCTGGCTCATTCGGCCCATTTTGCTTGCAGCACTTTCCGTATAGCTTTTCTGCACCTGGTTTTCTCCGCAGAGGCTGGAGGTTTGCCACTCAAGCTCAGGTTTATCACCTCGGAAGTTCCCAAGAAACTGGAGCGCTCCCAGCTTCTCCCCAAACCCCTGCACGACCTCTTCTGGCCACAGACTTGTGAGAGATTTGCATCCTCCCTTAGCCAGCGCGGTTCCTCTTTTCTGGCCCCTTACAATCTCTTCCTTATCTCTGCTACAGATAGGCAGCCTTGTTCTCATCAAAACAAAGGCAAAGCAAGGAAAGAAGTTCGGAGTTGCGACGCACAGATCACTGAGGATCACCCGGTCAGGAGAGGGGGAACACTGTTGGCCAGGACGACTTAAATTTTCGGAAAGCCCCAGACCCCTGGGCGCAGCGCTGCGGCCGGCAGGGCGGGCAGGAGCTGTCAAGGCACAAGGCAGCCTGGGACCGCGTATAGACACCTTGGCCCAGCGACACGAGAGGGATTCGCGGGGCAGAGTTCGTAGAATTGATCTGGGGGAAAGATGCGGTAAACCCACCTGCACGCCTCAGAGCGCGGGACAGGACGGTACTGCAGCTATGAAGGTTGCCACGGAGGGACTGTCCCTTCCCGCTGCCTCTCCCCAGGCCAGAATACTCACTCCCGTGCACTCACAAGCACCTGCGCACCGAAGTGGTGGCCAAGCAGGGGCAGGTAGGTGTGCGGCTCCACCCCAGGTACCTGCCTGGCCCCTAACCCGGGTCACCGGTCGCCAGCAGCCGGGCGCGCCGGAGGAAGAAGCGCTGAGCCAGCCAGGCTGCATCACACCTGGGGCGGGAGCCCCGGGACGGCCGGTGCGTCCGCTCTTCCCCTGGGCACAACTTTGCACAGCCCGCCCCGCTCCGCTCGCGCCTGCTGCCGGTCCTTACCCAAATACTGTCGCAGGTCCAGCAGGAAGCGAGGGGGTCCCCCGCTGAGCTGGTAGAAGAGGGAGCCCAAGCAAAAGACCAGCAGGGTGGCCATGCAGAAACCGTAGTCCCGGAGGGAGAAGCGCAGGAGGGGCAGCAGGGACACCCGGCGCTTCCAGCCGCCCAGGCCCGCCGGGGCGCCCCCGGCCGGGGCCGCATGGGGCCAGGAATCCGCTCCGCCGCCGGGATGCTGCTGCTGCTTCTTCTTCATCGCCTGCTCCGCCGCCTTGCACAGTCGGCCCGGGCCAGGAAGAGGTCACCCTCCGCCGCGAGGGGAGCGCGGCCGGCCGGCTGCACATGGGGAGGGAGGGCCGCGCCGAGGGCAGCCGGTGGGGGCGGGGAGGCCCGCGGGCCGCGCTCAGGAGACTTCGCCGGGCATGATCCCCGCCGCTCCGCGCCCGCTAGCACCCCCGCGCCCCGCCACGCCCCGTGCTCGCCCCGGCGCCAGCGCGCACCCACGGCTTTGTGCGCGTCCCTCTCGGATTGTTGTGTCCCGGCTCGGGCTCCTCCGAAAAAACGGCAGGGAGGAACGGGAGGCGGTCACCGTCCCCTCGCTCCACCTCCTGGACAGGGATTCTCCTCCTCCTCCTCCTCCTCCTCCTCCTCCAGCGCTCCGCAGCCCTCTCTCCCGCTGCGCCCTCCCTCTCCCCGCGGGTCCCCGCGTCGCGCTCGGTGTCACGTTACTGCTTCGGCGGGGGCGGGAGGGGGCGATTATTCGCAACAAGGAAGAAAGTTTCTGGGTGTTTTTTCCTTCTTCTTCTTCTTCTCCTTCTCCTTCTTCCTTCCCCCTTTCTCTACCATCTGGCTCCGGTTCCTGCGCCACCAGCGACCTCTTGGGGCCCTCTGGCTTCCCTCTTGTCAACAGTCGCCGGCAGGGAGAGGCACCAGTTTACTGTATTTGTGTTTTCATTTCAGAAACTTGGTTATCCTTCTGTAGCCCGAGCGAGCTGTTTACGAAAAGCCGATAAAGGGCCCTAGGAATAGGTCCAAGACTTAGCTGAGATGGTAAAGAACAAGTCCGGGGAGATGCCTGACTGAACATGCCCCGCAAGGCCAGGCTCAGCGCCCCGACTCGCTGGGAGAAAGCAGAGGACGCTTTCTTCTTCCTGGTCCTGAACTACACTCAGCGACCCGGGAGGCCAGGTGGAGCACACAGCCAACGCTGGGTCCTTTCTCTAGCAGACTGGAAGGGGGAAAGAGCCCTGTCCCCGTACATACCTACGTCATCACTACCTCTCGTCCCTCCCAGATTTCTGGAACTGAGAACCAGCTGAGCTTCCCAGACTCACAACCTCTGGTGCGGTGAGATATTCGCCGGAGGGCTGCCCTCATCAGCCACAACTTAAGTTGAGAAAAATTTACCTCCGTGAGTAAAAGCTGTGTCACCTGAGGCTTCTGTGACTTGCCCAAGATCACAGAGTTGGTAGGAGTCAGATTGGGAGGCGCAGTTTGATGCCCCAGCCCACTACACTAACCATTGCACGTGCTGTCTCCAGGCCAGAGCCCATTTGCATACAGTTGGAAGATGCCTTCCCACCGGCTTAACCCAGCTCACTTGGAGAAACTGAAAGGTCAATTTTTGGTGCCTCTCTTCTCTGGCTCCCAACTCGTTCTGCATTTTCCAGTAACGAACAACCAGATTTAAAGAAAAAGGAGCCTCATAATCTCTGATTCTAAGACTTTGGTCCTAAAAACCTGCATAAATTTGGCTATTTGAAGAATTTTCTATGAAAATCAGAGAACAGGATCGTGAGATCAAGACTTTACCATTAAACAACCTGGCTTAATTGTGAGCTCTGAATGAAGTCTCTGTTTCTTGATTTGGAACATGCGTGAAGAAGACATATAGGTCACCAGCTGGACGTGGTCATAAATGAAGTGGGCAACTTGGCACACACCCACACTCACAACTGCACATAGAAGCTCCCGACGTTGTGTATTCCTGGCCGGCTTTCTGAGGACAAGAAGGCCTCTTTGGGACCCAAAAGAAGGAAGGCCCCTTTATTCTGTCACAAAAATCATGAATAGCATTAATGAGTTCACGTTTATTTCCCAAATCAGAGATTTATCTGGATTAGTGCACACATTTTAGTAAAGTGAATGCCCCTGAGAGAATTAAGCCAATCAGTCATTGCCCATTAACGTGAATTACTTTAATCAGTGCAATGAGGAGACCAGAACAGACTCCCAATTAATAACTTCTGAGTTTATGAAAAGGGACTGGGCTATGGGAAGTGCCAATTTTCATCATGTTTTAGAGACCACCTTTGACAAACTGGGCCTGTTTCTGAGGCCTGGCTCTGAAATCTGAATGCTCACAGGGTGGAAAGAAAGGTGCAGGTATGCAAGGCCTTCAGTGTTCGCAGGTCCCACCCGAGACACTTCTCCATGTACTCTGGGAAATGCCCCATTCTTTCTCCTAAGGAAAGAGATCTGAGGAACGGCGCACTGGAGCTGGAAAAAAAGAAACAAACATCTGAGAAAATAAATTAATATGAGAATAAAAGTTTTACAGTACAGTGAAAAATGCAAAGACCAGCTCAGAAGAAGCAAGCTGTGATGTGAGGAATTTTAAAAGGGAGAAAAGATTAATTTTTAAAAGAGTATGTTAATAGATTAGTTGCCTAGAAAAACTTCACAGAAGGAAAAAGAAAAGATATCAAAATACAAAGAAGTTTCACTTGGGGAAAGCAGTGCTTTGTATTTTCACCCAACCCAAACAGATGCTTGGGGAAAGCTTTGTTTCTTAAAGCCCCATAAATGTCCCTTTTGTTCTTTTTAGTTTAAAATATTTATACTAATAAATGGAACCAGTTAATAAATCTATTAATTATAGGAATTTGTGAGTAGCTTTTATTATTAGTCTTATTTAATATGATTTGTGTAATACCTTGACCTCCATCCAATATCTTAGACTTCTCAGTTCTTTCTCTTCCCAGTGACGTTTTCCCCTTCTCACCTGACCCACTCAGTCCTGTCCTCAGGAACTTACTTGACACTGATGACAAACCACATCTCCTCCAAAGTCTGCTTTTCAACTGTCCAACCCTTACACCACCATCATACCCCTCTGCTTAGCATCTCTAGGGCCCTCACTCCAGCAACTTTTCAGCCTTTTCAAGAATCTTCAGTTCTTTCATCCTTTGACCATCTAATGTGTTGGCTTCCTTCTTTATCCAGTTTTGATTGCAGATACATCATTCTGATGTCTTCTTCTATTCATTCCCTTATTTCTCTTGTCTTACATCCTTGTGTATTTGCCTGGTGAAATTTGGGCTCTGTTAAACCCAACTCTGCAACTGGACTGGATCATACAAAAACACACAGCGTTGTGAACTGGCTTCCCTTTAAAGGGCACACTCAAACCTGCCTGGAAACCCCACTCTCTAAAAAGACTTTTTTCACAGCTTTTCTCTCTTCATACCCACCCTCGATATTCATCCCTTCAGTCCCCACTGCTGGCTTTGCTACATAGAGTATTGAGGATCAGAAGCAGTAGAACAGCAGCTCATTCGGCTCCCTGTCAGCCTATGCCCAGGTTTTCTGCCTTGTTTTCCAGTCTCACTGTGTCTTTGCTCTAGTCAAGGGTAACTCTGCCACTTAGACACTAGGCCTTGTTTCTAACCAATGCCAACCTTATGCCCCCCCAGCTTTCTGCATCTCCCTAAAGAATAGCACTACAAGCCACTTGGGCCCCCAACTTAACAGTCTTCCTTTGTTTTCCTTTTCCTTCACTCCTGTATCTAAACCAGCTGCAAATTCTATAGGCCTTTTTTTTTTTCTCTGTACGAGGGATCAAATTTAGGACCTCACACTTGCCAGACAGATGCTGTGCCACTGAGCTACAACCCTGGCTCTATAGGCCCTACCTTAAAAAATATCAGAATCCAACCACTTTTGACACCATCTTCTCTCGTCTGGATTGTTGCTGTCAGTTACCTTTGGGTTTGGCTGTATATAACTAAAAATCCAAAATGTCAGTGGCTTAAGCCACTGAATGTTCATTTCTCCATCTTGTGAAATGAGTCCACAAACAGGTAGTCCAGAGTTGTCATGGTTTTGACATGCTATCATCAGAGACCTATCTGAGTTTTCTGTTCCACTATCCTCAGCATGCATTTTCCATCCTAAAGGTGGCTTTATGATCTGAGATGATCACTGGAGGACCTGTTATGTTTATGTTCCACACTGGCAGTAGGGGGAATGTAAAGACCCCCTCTAAATACAATAGGTTCTTTGTAAGTTGTGCTACAAAAAGTACTAAAACTTCATCTTATTGTTTACTGGCCAGGACTATGTCTAGTTGTAATGGGGAACAGGAGCTAGGAAATCCAGATTTTAGCTGGGCACATGAAAAAAAAAAAAGTTCAGGAGTGAGAGAAGAAGAGAAAGAAGAGGAATAAGAAGAGGAAGAGGAGGAAGAGGAGGAAGAGGCAGAGGGGGAGAAGAAAGAAGAAGAGGGGTGGGGGAGTAAAAGGAAGAAGAAAAGAGGAAGAAGAGGTAAAGAAAATCCAAGGTCTATTGTTTAAAAAAGGAAGAAGCAGATGGTTCTTTGGTGATGTCCATCAGTTTGTGTTATTCCTTCTAACTCGTCTCCTTCGTCCTTCCTTAGTCTCCTCCCCACCCCTCACCCTCATACCAAGAATGGAACCCAGAGGTGCTCTACCAGTGAGCTATATCCCCAGTCATTTTTTGAAAAATTTCTTTTATTAGTACATTTTTGTAGTCCATAGATATTGATTACATTCACTGTGGGGAGTAGGTACGTGTACATAACATATCTTAATTCTTTGTGTTTGCCCTTCTGCTCCCTTCCTCCCCTGTCTATCCATCACAAGATCCCCAGCCATTTGTATTTTTGAGACAGGGTCTTGCTAAGTTGTTCGGTCTGGCCTTGAACTCACAATCCTCCTGCCTCAGCCTCCCAAGTAGCTGAGATTACAGGCGTGTGCCACTATGCTCAATGAGGACAATGATTTTATCTCATTTGTTTAATGCTGTATATTTAACATTTAGAAGACTACTGACAGGTAGTAATTACTCGATAAATATTTGTTGAATGAAAAAAATAGATTTTAATATAAAGGTCTCAAGCTCAGTAGATCAAATGTCATTATACCTTAGAATTCTTCCAAATGGAGATGAGAGGTGGGAGTCATTAAAAGCAAGTCCCCATCTTCCTAGAACTTTTAAATGACCACCAAAGGAATTATTTGAAGTTAGAAATATATTTGTTAAGTGAAAGAATCTCCATGACTGCTACACTAATTAGCCATTTAGCGTGTCCCTGTGATTATGAATGCCTTATGGAATTGCAAAAGGAATAAGAGTCCATGAGGCTTTGCCTGCTGTGACCATTCCTCTTGGCAGAAATGCTGCTTATGTCAAGGACTGTTGCTATTTCTGGGACTGGAGCAGTCAACCTCTTAGAAAACTAAGCTCTCTGAGATGTGGCTTTGGAAGATCACTGTGCTTGTTTTTAGACTCTCTTCTTCCATTGTTCCTCTGAAAGTAAGGCTGTTTCAGGAAAGTTTCTGAGTTGGAATGCTAATGCTACAGTACAATAGTGGCAAATTAGAAGGCAGCCTGAGTTGTTTC